AAAACCGTTTAACTTCGCGTGCGGCTCTACACACAACATATAAACTTAATTGTATAACTTTATAAGACAACTAAAGCCGAATAACCCGGCTTGGTTCGTGGAAAATTATAAAAAAGTGAAATTATTAAAATGCTTCGTCAAAAATCTGGTACATTTATTTAATTACACGTGGGCCCCTGCATGAACTCTTCTCGTAAAAAAAAGAAAGGGGGAATAGGGTGACGCCACGGAACTACGGAAGGGGTATTTGTATAAACACTGTGTAAAAAAAATCGTATAATTATTCAAAGTCCTCGCCTCTAAACCGGAACATTGAAATACAATGTGTGCCCTCTCGTCCCTTCCCCGAGCCAAAAATGGAAAAAAATGTCGACGCTGTTGCACTGGAGGTGGGGTGGTAGTTGAAACAGCTTTGTGAGAAAAAAATAAGTGGACTTATTCAAAAGTTTAATCGGAAAAGTGGAATAACAAAATACAGAAGTGTGCACCCTCTTTTCCCTTGGCCAAAAATGAGAAAACGAAAACAATGCGCCTGGGAGGGGGTACTTGGAACAACTACGCCAAAAAAAAAAAAAAAAATAGTCCAATAATGTCGTTAGAAACTGGGCACAAAATGTAATGTTCTTAAATAATAAAATAATAAATATAGGCACTATATAATATAATATTATTATGTAATATATTTAATATAATATTAATAACAAAATATTCATATTGATACTCATATATAGCATAAATGAGTTGTATAATCCATTAAAAAAACACCAACATCGCTGCAAGTGTCTCATAAGGGTCGTATAGTTTGACCTCAGGGATGAATTTCCTTAAGACTAAATTTACATTAAAAACCTAATTAAAGTTGATTTTCAAATAGGAGCGCGCACTTCACTCATATATACCGACGCGCGACTGGGAGGCTTTGTATACGAGTGCATTTATTAATATATTTTGATCGTTTATAATTCATCAGAATAATATGGTTGTGGAGGAATACTTACAACACCAATTTTATAAAAAAAAAATAAGGCATTTCAAATTCATACTAATTACATGGCAAAAAAAATAATCAATAATTTCGAATGGATGGTGATGGCGCAACGCGTAGGTCCTCACTGATCTTATATTATTTTTTTCATATCGGCCTGGGAAACGATTACATAATTATTAAATAAATTGGTCTCAGCACGGGAGGGAATCTTCTTGCGCGTTTCACAAAGTACTGCTAACAATGTATTATTTTGTTTTGTAGTTTATTAGTTTATACAACTCAAAAGTTGTATTTTTCTGACACTCGAGAAGACAGGAGAGTTCAAACTTAAAGCTTAGACTCAAAGCGTTGTGTCCATCATCATTATTATTCATTAAACACGGAAAAAGTATTAAAGTTGTACAGGGCGATTCAACAACCGTACTCACTCACGTTTTCGGAATTTTTAAATACCCATACAAGACTATATTTTCAAATTCCTGAGATTTTTCGTGATACATATGAATCGTCCTGTGGTATTCTGTTTTTCAAATGAGAACTCCACTTTATTACTTTGCATTATTTAGTGCATAATTTTTATTTACATTTTGATTATAAATTAAAATGATTAGTTTCTCAGTTATAACAATGTGTATACTAAGGATGAAAATGTTTTTAGAAAATATAAAATAGATTTAATATTGGATCTATTATTTATCTAAATAATAAGCAAATCTTTTAATACTTTTTATTTCATTGTTATCATTTATTTATACATTTTTAATATTGTATTCTATAGAATTGTATCTTGTTATATCGTTAAAATAATTGTTGAGCTGTAATAGTTAAACTAAAAGCTAATAAAAAAAAAATAAAAAAAATAAGCAAATCATTTACATTCTAAAAAGGAATTCTGCTTTGAAAAAACAGAAGTTTGAATCACCACAAAGAATACCTCCTTATAGGTAGTACAAGAATCTCAATTTCAATAATTTGAAAATATGGTCTTTAACTTATAATATTGGATTAAGAATTAAAAATATCGGATTTTGATGTATTATTGAAGGAAAATGAGGTCAGTATGTCTGATGAATAACCCTATATCACTTTTATGCCACTTTAATGTCTTAGGCGTAGCCATAAAAAAATTTACATTTTACAAACTAAAATCACTTGCGAACGGACGTCAAGTCATGATGCGATATGGTAGGAATACAAAATCCGAAATAGCAAAATCGTAATATTTGAAACTAAATATTTATCTGTAAATGGGGGTATAAATGTGTAATCCATGTGATCCAAGTATAATAAATACTACATCTAACATTATACATAGTTTTCAATTTTATTGAAGCATTTTCAAGAATTAGTATCCTTAGTATAAGCACTTTAATAACTCAGAAACTACCCATTAGAATTTTGATTTAATTCGTCAAAAAATATCAGAAGTTTGAAAATATGGTCTTTAGGTCTACTTAAAAATTCTAAAAATCAGTATCTGAATAAATGCACTATTAAAAGGTAAAATGGAGGTGAGTACTGAGTATGCTTAAAAACCACCCTGTATACACAAAATATATATGTAGATGTCTATCGGTTAATAATACTAAACGATTCAACGTACTGTAGAAACTCGTACACAGATTATAATATAAGGCTATATATACATAGTATGTAGTAATTAAGTAATAATCTGCCTACATCTAAACTGTGCCACTAGCGAATTTTTCGATTTTAGATTCTGAGCTGACTAGCTGAACGACGAGAGTATTGAATTTATGATAATTATGTGTTGTTTTTTTTTTGGTTATGTGTACCTACACGTTTTATAGCAGAACAAAACGCTTGGATCTTCAAAGATGTTTTGGATAGAAAACTGGATTTAGCAAGTATTTTTGGGAGGTCCAAATTGAAAATCACCAGTTAAAAAAATTACTTTTCAAAATAATAATCGGAAAAAATGATAAATGATTCAGCAAAACTAGTGTTTGCAAAATTAGATTTGTTTTTGGCTGTAATTAAAAATAAATAATTTGGTACTGACATATTATATTGTAGAAAGTGGACGTTTTCGCCCACATATTTTTTTAAGCATATGCTATATAGACATTATAAAATTTCCGATTCTTCCGTGCTATTTATATACATTTTTAAACGTTTAATTTTTTTTGTTTTTTCTCTATTTATATTCCATACATTTTTGTTTACGAGTAAATACCCGCTTGACTAGTTATTAATTAATACAAAGTTTTCGTAAGTTGTTCTTTCAGAAAATAAAAATATCAAAAACACAGTCACTATTTTTTGTAAGCATTGAAAGTTCAAATTCTAAATTTTTTTTTTAATTATAAATTAACTTATATTTTGCTTTGTGAAATAATTCGTCTCAGGTGTGCAAATAGATTGGACTTTAGCATTAGTATATATTTTTTAACGTGGTTTAAACTACTTACATTCTAAACTTTTTCGATATCTCTATAATAAACAATCTCTGAGGTTTTCGTCAAATTCAATCGAGTAGTTCTTGACTATAAATGCCACGCACGTATTTTTGCCCTCAGGTTTTAAGATATAGTTTTTTTAATGGATACCATGTAAACGCGACGGTTTGATGCATGCTTGTATACCTGATCTGCCTGAGTAACCAATACGGCGACCATCCACCGTGAATCTCAAAATCCTTGTTTGAGGACCTTTTTAAAATGTGAATATCTGAAAATCCTTTCTTATTAGTTATTACACATCTAAATTATAGACCATTGGATTAACCACTATTCCAAATTTCAAGGTCGTACGTTGTGTAGTTTTTGCAGAGATGTAGCGATCACTGAGTGCGTAGGTAAGTAGTATTTGGCACGTATATGTAGGACATAGGTATATAGCTATATATTATATGAAACTATGTAGCCGTATTAAAAAATATTGATCACCTCGATGCGATTAATTGCAATTTGAAATGTGTAAAATTGAAATATCGAACGTTTTGATCGATATCAAATCTATCAAATATTACTAATTTGACGTCATATGTCACATCTGCAGTTTCTTACACATAATTTCGAAACTTTTAATACTTACAAAAGTATATGGTAATAAAATTTATAATTTTATGTTTGATGTATAGTTGGCTCCTATATAGTATACATCATAGAAAGTATTTTTTTATGGCTGGAAAATGGTATAAAAATAATAAATAATTAACTACAATTCGTAATTAATCGGTCGATTACGAATATTTACGATGCCAATTGTGTAAAAATAACTTGATATCATATTAATAGAATACGATATGAAAAATGTCTCACGCGTTAAGTACGTCTGTTGAATGATATAATATTTTATGTCTTCCAGTTGCAGCAGCTGTGGTTGGTATTACAATAAATCATGTGCTATACAATGTTAAGAAAAAATTCTTGACTATTTAAAATAAAAAAATTGTTTTTGTTTTTTTGAAAATTTTTTATTGGTTTTACAAAATCATGCGCTGCTAAAATTAGAAGAATCAAAGTCAGGAATATTTCTTATATCCCCTACTCTAGACAAATGAAGCCTATAAAAACAACTTATATAAACTAATCGTACATCAAGTATACAATATAATATATAATAATATATATTAATGATAAAAAAAAAAAAAAATATAATTATGATAATAATAGTATAATGATGATAATAATAATAATAATAATAATAATAATAATAATAATAATAATGATAATGATAATTAAAATGCAGCGACAGAAGACCGCTCTAAAATATTGTTTATATATCGTTTGAACTTTTGGAATGAAGCGTATTTTATCATGATTTTTATACAGTATAATATTATATCATGACTCTAAATAAACACCGAGAATAGATAATAACGTTATTATTATTATTATATATCTATTAAAATTCACTGCTATATAATATAATATATGAGTAGTAAAAATAATAAAAATAATTATAGTTATAATAATAATCGTGAGAGTATAATATAATAATATATTGATTTGATCTTAAATTTGTTCGTTTGAAGTTTTTAATGTAATTTTTTTTAATGTTTACGATCTAGAAAATTAACCCTAAGGTACGAAAACACTTTGTTCATCGTTCATAATATATTATAATATAGGTACATAGATATTAATATTATCATTTTAATATATAATATAATCAAAATATATATATTGATTTATATTATATATGTATATAAGTAATATTATAATTATAGTTAACTTAATTATTATTATGTATATATTGTATACGATTAAAGCAAAATCATTGAAGTCGGATGTGACGAAGGGGATGGGTTGAATGTTATATTTTGAACGATTACACACACGACGGACAAGGAAGGAGAGGAGATGACAAGACGGAAATTTTTTTGTATTTTGTATTTTTTTGGTTTTTTGTTATACACGTTTACGCGCTTGTTGGTTTGCGTGTGTTCATGACGAATTTGCGTGCTTATTGCCTGTTGCGTGCTTGCTTGTTACCTGTGAAACAAAAAAAAAAAAAACATAGCATGAGTTAAATGCCGTACACAAATACATAAGAGTATATGACAACTTAGAACTAGATGTACGGTAGGTACGTCATATTCGTTATGTGAGGGTTTATCATCATTTCAGGAGCTCCTGCAGAGTACTTCGACCAATCCACTCCCAATAATCTTAAAAAAATATGCATATCATTGTTATACTAATATTATCGTAAGTATTAGTCTACTATAGAAATAGATTAAATTAAGTTTATTGGGGGTTTTTTTTTTAATAATAATATGAACTATGAAGGTACTACAGTTATTGCATACATTAACTGTTATAGGTACATTTTAAAAATATTTTAAACTACTCATATACGAATTGCTTCACAGATATTTTAAATTTTTTAGAGTCAAATATTTTTTAAACACGTATCCCTGCCATATCTTATCAACCCTTGTTCCCTTACATACGGCTTCCATGTGCAATGCATAGGTGATACGCAGAATTTTTTATTTTATACACTTAATACAATAGCGGGATTCAATACAAATAAGTTATAACAAAGAGCAAGAGTACCTTCTCAGTCGTCACTTTTCTTGGTTTTGTGTAGTATATAATATTATATAGTACCTATTCATTCTAAACGTTATTTTGTGCTCCTGCAACATTTTTGTTCGCTGCATCGCCACAGAACATACTATAATATAATATAGAGTACGGTGGGAATAAGTTTACCAGGAATTTTCACGGTTTGCGGTGACAAAGAAAAAAATTGAAATCTACGACGAATATAATATGTGCATTGTACAATATTATTATATTTACATAAACGTTCATATCTCGTTTCTTTAACGTCTGGAAACATTTGTCTGTATACCTCGATTTATCGCATATACGTTATGTATCGTTTCAGCTTAGGCCGTTAAGCGAGTGCGTATAAGTGGCGCGAATATTTTAGATTTAAAAAATAAAATACGGATGGCGCCTGCGCGTAATCATAATAAATACCATCGATTTTATTCTATTGTTTAAAGTCTAAACCATGTTATTTAAATAATTATCAAGTATACCGGATGGTGGATACACCATATACACGACATAGGTAACATTAATAAATAAACCTATTTACCTTATAGGTATACTATGCACGGTCGACGGAAATTCTTAACAGAACGACGATTTTGTACAGTTGAAACACAACGTGTACGTGATGTGTATATGTACTATAATTGTTTAAGCGTGTTTGCGATGTCACTCGCTCCGAGGAGCAGGAAACAGCTGAGTCGTTAATTAACGAAGGATTATACGACCGAAGATCGTGTTACCGCTAAAAATAAGCGACGCATGTGCTCCGTATCGCCCGTATGGGAGTGTTTCATGGTTAAAATGGTTCGATATTATGTACTTACAGGATGCAATGTACATTGAATGGGTATCTTGTACATTCGCCAAGAATTCTCACCCCTCTTTTCTTCAATAGTGCTGTTATTAAAAACCTGCTTTTAAAATTTTTTAATATACATATAGGTACTTAAATACGATATTTTCAAATTCTTGATATTTTTTCTTATTTACTAAAATAGTTTCCTGTGGAAATATAAACTTTCAATTTGTCAAATGAGAACCTCCCTTTTTTAAATTATGAATTTTTTGAAAATTTTGTAGTATCAAAATCAAAATTCAAACGAGTAGTTTTTGATTTATTTAACTTTGTGTTCTAAGGGTAATATAGGTCCATGATAGTGGGTCTGGAAGATACAAGAATGGCTTAATGGTAATCTATCGTCACATATAATTTGTGAAAATGTTTCAAGATCATAAAACACCAGATTCAATATTAAATCTATTTTATTTTTTGTAAAACCATTTTTTAGGACTTTTATCTTAAGTACGGGTAAACATTTTAATAACTGAAAAACTACTCGTTTGACTTTTGAACTAAGTATGTCAACATTATTAGTAAAGGTTATTCACAAAATAATTTACAGTAAAAAAAGGGTTCTCATTTTAAAACATAAGTTTGTGTACCGCCACAGAATACTCCTCTTAAGTAGTACAAATATCCTAAGATTTTACAAATATAGTCTTCACGTACAGTTACGAAAATTTCAAAAAACAGAATTTAAATAAATTCAATGTTAAATATGAAAAAATGGGGTTGAGCATAGTTGACGAATGTATATTATTACATTTATAAAATGTATATAATCGCGAAGTCACACTTAACATACTATTATTATGTACTATTACAGTATGTGTTAATGAGCGGTGACATTTCTCGGCTTTCGTCCAACTACTTGTCGTTGCTGGAATAATATTATTTTATAGGTAGTCCCAAATTGTGCTTATTTATTGAACACATTTCATGGCAAATAATAAATATTTTTTAACTAAACTTTTTTGAATTTGTTCAACCCTTAGCACCAAAAGACTGATCGCAACGAAGAATTGTGGCATATTTATAGGTTGTTTTGGTGTTTCATGAAATTAACAATGTATATTTTATATCAAATAATTGAACCGATTGCATTATTGCAATGTTATCCGGAGATAGCAAAATATGCCAATTCCACATCCAGCCATACAGGTACACAAATATAGTTTATAAATCATAATCGATTATTATTTTCATCAAAATTGCAGAAAATTAAATATTCAAACAGATAATAAGAGAATATAAAAAACGTTGCCCTCCGGTGCAATAAATTTGTCGTTTTTTTCTGCAATACATATATTATACTCGTATACGGCGATATTCTGCAGCAATGAGATACTGGATAGCCAAATTCCCGATAGGCTAATTATCGTGTTCCATACGTGATGCGTATTTTTGGGTCGACACACCGTACGTCATGATATGAATATATACTCACATACGCAAACAATTGTACAGATATATTATATTTTATGGTTTGACCATGGTCGTGTATATTCGAGTGAAATCCCCCCTGATCGAGGGATAAATTCCCCAAACGAATTTTTTAGTCGATCTCAACAATAATAAATAGTAAATAATCAAAATTAAAGGTACGCAATACATGGTGCGATTGCATTATTTAATAATATGTAAAATACTGCCAAGTCTCACATTTATTCAAAATATACATAAGAATATTGTGCTCCCCCAATAGCCTACCCTTACCATCATTTGTGTTTATCATGATGATACCATTCCCGGGAAGGTATGGACGGACATCCGGCCGAGTATAATAATATGTACACAGCGTATCAAAAATAATTGACAGATATAAAATTAATAAACAAACTATATCTATACGTATAGGTAGTAAGTAATAACTTATAAATACTTATTCTTTTGTAACTATAATTTTTTTAAACAAAAATGTTAAATTTAGATATTAGGTATATATAATTAGTTATATATTAAAGAAAAAAAGTAATATTGATTAGAACAATAAGAGTTATTTTGTAGTTCCTTAATTATACTTATCAGCTATTTGTGTTCTACTTTTTATACTGAATAATTCAGAACCTAACCTTCATTTTTTTTTCAAATTTTGATTTTTGGAATTTTTAATTGTACTTTATACTTACAATTTTGTTGAGGTTTTTTAGTACCTACTTAAGGAGTGCTTTCTGTTTTTAAGAAAATAGGAGGATCTCATTTGAAAAGTTGAAGTTAATATCTCCATAAGACGTAATATAAACAATTTCAAGTTGATACCTAAGATATTAAAGAAAAAATTGGAGTGAACTTAGTAGTGCTTACTTAGTGAAGAGCATATCCGATATATCAGCAGTGCCGGAATTAGAGATTTGGAGGCCTTGGTGTTAATCCAATTTAGGGGCCCCTACAGAAGTGCTGTTATGAAGACATGTAACGTGTAAGTCCCCCTGGTCTCACCTTCACATTTTTGGCTGTACAATATACATATTATACAGTATTGTCTACAGCTATTATATGTTTTAATTTGACCAATAATAATTACTCTGTTAATCTGTTATAGAAAAAATCTATTACACTTTAAAGTTTAAAATCTATATGAATAATGAACGAAATAATGCGAATCAGTAGGTATATATTTTATTGATACACATATGTAGAGGCAAAATATTTCGAAACAATTATTTTTATCGATCGATTTCTTGGGTTTATGGAAGTATTGGATATTTTATAAATATATAATATTAATTGTATATGATGCAGATGACGGAAATATTTTGTGATTACGGAAACGAAACGAACGAACATCCGCACTCTGCAGTGACTATCGATTGCCAAGTATACACACCGGAATCACAGAATAATTGAAATTTCATTTATTCTGCACCGGAATACTGCAGTTGTAAAGTTGGAGTTGGGTTAGATTAAATCGTTAATTTATTTAAGTCAGTTAATCGAAATGCGCGATGAACCGCTGGCGATACTGCAGTTAAGTGAATATTAAATGTAATCACGATTGGCCGGTGGACCTATATAATAATATTATATAATATTATAATGAACGATTAATTTGTATCATATAAATGCGGTATTTTGGGTCGGCTGGAGGACTATATTTAGTTGGAAAATAATTGGTAGGAACGTAAGTAAAACTATATTTTCAAAATTATATTTGGTATCTGGTGCTGGAATATTATTTAACTGAAACGTATTTTGTTGGAATAGTATAAGTTCAGAAATGTATTTTAGAATACGACTCCAACAAAATATTATTCAATATATTTTAATTCCATCAACATATTTTCCCAGCATAATATATTTCTAACGGATTACCCTTCCAAACCAATAATTCACCAATTTTTTAAGCGCCACCGGTCAGCTTTATATAGTCGTATGATACAATTTCAATCGTGAGGGATCGATTTTCGATATACATAATAATATCAATATAAACCTATACCCACACTGAATTTTTATTTAGAGACTCATGTTGGGAATGTCTCAGAAAGCTCGGACTTTAGCGAAAAATAATATAGGTATAACTTTTATACTACACTTTTAGATTCGAAGAGATATTAAAACCAATTTTATTATTTGACATATTTTAAATCATATTAGTCAACATTTGAGTTGTCGTTTTTATAAATAAACTTCCAACAGGTATTGAACGTTTTGATGCTCTGTTTATGGAAATACGACAGTGGTATCGACGTAACTTATTATTTTTTATGTTATTTTATATCTTGTTTCGTCTCATTACGTCTTGTGCACTATATAATATACCTAAATTGTCCTAAATTATTTTTCAAACAATTTATAATTTTCAAAACAAGATGTACATATAGTCGTATGCATTATATTGTATTGTTCGTTCAGTTTATTGTCTCGGAATAGCTAATCAGTAATCAGTATATATTAACTATTTAAGAGATATACATGTGAGTTAGCGAATATATTATATAATTTATGTACTTATATAAGTAATAAGTAGGTACGCAACCACGTGTGATAATATTATCCTTTATAATTATTTACAAAAGTCTGTTAGTGTTATACTGTTGTGCGTGTATGTGTGTAATACTATGACAAAAGAAGGATTTGGTGCTAAATATGAAAACATCAAATTGTTTGTGTGTAACATACGCCATAGCAATCCAAAACGAATAATTTGCGAGTCCCCAGGGTTATCAATATTATATAAGCGGTAAGCCCCCAGCGGCGTTCTTATTATGCAATTATTAACCATTGGCGTTGAACTTTGACATTTACATTGAAAATATGTACCTACAATCTTAAGTAATTCACATGAGACTTCACACCTAGTATAGTAACAGCTAATGGAAAACTTTGTACTAAATAATTATCAAGCTATTTTACTCCTTATACGAACAACTACAAAATTTTACACAAGTCGAAAATAAAACAAAAAGTAGAACATTTTAAATATCCATACACAGCACAAAATAGTCAAAATATTTTGAAAATTTGGTCACTTCTATAGAATATCCTAATATAAAATATTTACTGAAAAATTCAATGAACACAAAAAACCAAAAAGATTTGATCTAAATCTGAGTTTGCGTAAAAATTACTGTTTGACTTTAATTTTTTTTTTCCTGATTGTTTTGAATAGTACTGATGGGATATTTTTGCTCAAGACTCCTTACCCACGAAAACCAAACAGAACCAGCATCGAAGTTTATGATTGAAACATTTTTCTATTATAAAAAGTGTTTAATCAAAAAATAAATAAATAATGAAATTTAAATAATAAAACACATCATTTTAAAATGTAAATCAATACATTCATTGCTCCACTGAGCATCTACAATTTCAGTTCACAACATATTGAAATTGAATATTTTCCAATTTTTATGATACGTTTTGCACTTTGCAGGAGATTTTAAGCCATGGGATTATAGTTTGCGAAACGAATAAAAAAAAAAAAAATAGGGATTTCGTGAATGAATTCGATTAATTCTTTTCTTTCAGATTTAACAATATAATATTTGTATAGCATCCAGTCGTTTAAAAACAATTATCTTTCTCGAACTAATTATATATGTAGTTACGCGCACAGCCATAAATATTGTAATATGATTTTAAGGTTAAGTCGTATAGCGAGGTACCTGCATAAATACATTAAATGTCTGTATTTATGTATATGTATTATAGCTTATTCATGTTAATATTGCCCCGTGTATAAAGTGTTATATAGTTACCTTTATTACCCCGTCCCTTGCTCTTGCACTTTTTCGTGATCTGTCTGGTCTTCTCGCAATTTGAGTTCTCAGTAGACGGATCCTTGAGCGTGTCCGTCCTGATCATCTCGTTATGCGAGTTACATTGACTCCACGTGCCCTTCACATACCGGCATGCTAAAACAACACACAACCCGATACGTACAACCATATATTCATGCATTTAAATATTGTTTAAAAGCTTTAGCTATATAATATGTGTGTGTGTTACAGAATTAATGTACGTGACCAGTAAGGTTTAGAAGTTAAGTGACTAGCTGAGCAACAGCAATATAAGCAGATTGTGGGCCTTAAGCTAACTTCCAACTGCTCCGTGTTCCGCGAACCGTAGTTTCTGGGAAAAATTCAGAGCTGTGAAGCCTGTGATTGGCTGAATCTTGTAGTTACCTAGCGGTTAACCACGATGGTTATAAATAAATAGCATGTTATACTGTAGATACCAGAAAGTATACCTACTCAAGTCAAATGTTTACAAGAATGTGGTTACTGATTATAAAAATAACCATGAAATACAAATTAGAACTGATAGGTGGTGATTGTTCCGTTGTGATAACAAGAAACCAGTTACCGCTTACCAATATGTTCACAATTTCACCACAAAAATAAAAAATATATAATTTTGAGAAATCACTGATAATTTTTTCCCCAGAAATACGGTTCACGGAGCAGTGAGAAGTCGTCTTTATTCTTATGAATTTTCCCTGCTGCTCAAGGTTCGATGTCGATGACTCAGAGTATGTAAAAGTAATTTTTAAAAATATACTTATATTGCTTTGGTATTTTTTGATATTAAGATGGTTTATGGAAATATTAGTATTGAAAAGAACTTAGTATGATGATTACTAACTCAATTATTGCATTTTTGTTGTTTCCTACTGTTTAATGTGAACAGTGTAAGAATAATATCTGATATGCGATAAGGTATAATGCACAACAGCTTGTTTTTGTATTTATATACGTTTGAAAGGTTGTAAAAGGATATACTTTATTTAAGGTAAGAGCAGAGACGAGGGTACTGGATATTATGTCGGTGATTGCAATTATTGTTATCATTGCAATATGTTTTTTCAAAACAAAAATGTTACACCCACAAAACACTCATTTATAGGATACGGGGCTTATCAAGTGGCTATAGGTGGCCGAGGCCGTTTTTAAACGGGAAGAGATTCATTTGTCACCTTGCTGGTCATTCCATAATGGGTTTTTAATAAGATCAAATGATCCATATCGCCTTTGTGCATGTGTTTACAATATACATTACAATATACCGTGTAAGAATATTTGACCTGTTTTAAATGTAAAACCTCAGTAATCGCGTGCGACATTATAAAGTTAGATGCTGTTATAGCTTAAATAAATCTTGGATATAGATCGTACCTTTCTTGCACTTCTTTTCAATCTTCTTGGTCTTCTCGCAAGTCGCATCGCCTTTTTTCAGTGTCAACGTGCGCGCCTTCACATTGGTCTTTTCGTCACACGGGGACCACTGTGACTTTTCATAGTGACAGTTGGTTTCTGTTCGTTAAAACAATGTTTTAAAACATTATTACTATTTTTCTCTCTGTTTTTCGTAATTTTATGAATATCATGTTGTGATAATACAATAAAATGTATCGAGATACGATAATGATAGGTACATAATATGTATAATAAATGAATACTCGCCTTTTCCGCCATTGGCTCCTCTGGCCAAACGGTTCAATGATTGTTCGTTCGGTCCGGTCTCGTTAGAGCTGACCATTGCAATGGCCACTAACAGGAAGCTAACCATCATGATACTTAAACACTTCATCTGAAAATAAAAACACGCAATTGAATAATGTATCATACAATTTACATCATATCGTATAAATCGTGCGATAACAGCATAACTAGGTACTATGTTTTAAATTAAATAAGTAAATAACAATTCCGACATTATGAAATGTGAAAAAATAATTTTATTTTTGATAAATTCAAAATATATTTTATCTTCATAGGCGGGTTTAGTGTAATGTAACCAACTAAGTTGCTTGAGAGTGGTGTTTAAGATAATTAATTCAGATTCTATTTTTTTATTAATATTAATTTTATGGAACATATATTATGCAGTTTTTAGACACAATTTGTAATATTATGTAGGTATACATACAATTTGACGTTATAGACGCATTAAAATACAATTTATAAAAAAAATATAGTATATTCAACTAATTTTTTGTTCGTTACTATTGATTTAATATTTAGTGTCATTAATAAGTAATTACGTTTATCAGCTAATTAATAAAGATCATGCATATTCATAACAAACAGATTTTTTTTACTTCATGAATATTATAATATTATATATAATATGTCGAATTCGTAGAATGTTTATTAAACCATACAGATTTGTGATAAATCGTCTATTAATTAATAAATGTTCACTATGAAGTATGAATTATAATATTAAACATTGGGTAAAATTACCAAATCATAGGTATTAATCAATAATCAGTGATTAGCGAAGCGAAAAATACATGGAATATTTTGTATTATATTATTTGGTCAAATATAAAATATAATACAATTTAAGAAAAACACTGAAAAGCATATAACCCGACACCACACGCCCCTTTTAAAAAGTTTGAAATAATAAACAACTGCGAATGACATTTTCGAAAATATATGTCCTGGGCTCGAGTACTCTTTAGGGAAATAACTCATGCTAAAAATAAAGTCTATGTCGAAATAAACATAAAATATATAATTAAAATGTGTAGTGAACGAACACATTTTCAATTCATAACAAATTTTTATTCGGTGACTGTTGGACCATATTGAATCAATCCATTAAACTTTAATATTACAGACTCAAATTGTTATTAAAACGTCCATATAAAGACATATCAACCAATTTGTACCTACATAGATGTTTTCATTTTATTGGCTAAAAAAAGATTTAACCCATTTTCCAATACATTGTGTGTTGTATTGTAATAATACATATAATAGGTACTGCAAGGCTTGTGTTTATTGTTAAACATTCAATAATACACACAAATACACACACACACATATATATATATATATATGCATACGTACATTATATTACATATAGATATAAATAAATATTTTATTATTATAGTGTTCCGACCGACCGTGTATTTGACGAAAAATTGAAAACCAAAACAGGCTTACAAGATTTTGTTACAACAAATAAATGTTTTGATTGGTCCTTCACAAAGAGGGATTGAAAAATAGGAGAGAAACCATTTATTTTTCGAACGTGATGTAAGTACTAAAACCCTTTTAGTATTTCCCGTTGTTTCGAACAGTCACGTTTCACAATGCGGCCCCGTACGTATTCCAGTCGGTTTTTCCGTAAACCCTAAACGTGAACATGACACTTTGACCACAGAAATTATAAATTAGCGGTCACTTGCCAGTAAATGTGTATTATTAGGTAGTTGTTTGTTAGCAGTTAGCATCTTTGTTCTTTGTGTATGGCATGGAACTAGAGAAGTACCTATGTTACGTACTTGATTAAGTAAAAAATAATACGTAATTAAATATAAAGGGGAATAATTTAAACCATTGGAATTATTAATTGGTCTGTTTTAGTGTACCTAGTGTAACTATTAAAGTTGGGTTTTTAATTGAAAAGCAACAATTCTATATTCAAATCGACGGTCTAATTTTTTGACTAATTAGGATGTGAACATGCACAATTTTCATGCCAGTATTTGTTCTATATTTATTATTTAATCAGGAATGTGTTTATTTGTTTTTATCATTATTTATATTTTATATCTAAAGAACTATTATGTTGATTCCTGATGTATTTAAAAATTGATAATCGTTGACTCACACATTTCGATCATAATATTATGTGAACACAAATAGAATATATTGATGGGTCAAAACAATACAATGTGATTATAACGTAGGTGTCAGTATCAGAGTTATACGAATAAAAAGAAAATTGCGTAATGTACATAACACTTTAACGAATCATTCAGTTTAGAATAATATAGTATGTATTACACACGTGCTGGAGCTCCTTTATTTTGTGTATAACATAATAAATAATAATAATAATGTCTTATATGCGTATCACTTTTATTATTTAACAATATTGATATAAAATAGGTAACCTTCGCAAGAGGATAACGGTTATAAGAAGATTGTAAAACGAAACAACACTTATAATAGTTATAATTGTATAATAAATGAATAACATACCTATAAACTGCAGTAATATTACAGCTTCTGCATAGAAAAAGTTTATAGTACCTATACCGGCTTTTGAATAAGACATAACCTACTGTTGTAGTGAAAGAAATAATACGATACTTATATAGGTACGCCGGAGCTTTAAAATTCAAAAATCTTGTCATTGTGTAGACGTATGTAAATGTGAAGGTATATGCTTAAGGTTTTAAGGGTCCTATACACGTAGCCCGCGTTTACGATGTTTTGTAAACTATATAATAATATAATAACTACAACTCTTGAAAGCTTTGAGTCACGTAGACCCTTAAAAATTGTTGTGCAACCAGAAATCAAGGTTCATTATACTCAATTCTTATCTATTCTATTGTGTTTTTCTTTTTCCGAGTAGGTACTAGCTATATGCTTTAACTTTCATTCGACTTTTACGAGTTTACTTGTTTACACGAATTTTTTTTTGTAAAATCTCATCGCATCTGAAATACCCATGTGTTGATATGTTTTTGTGCTGTAAAATCGAACCGCAGAACAAAGCGATTGTTATGTATGTGACTTTCCAATAATCCGCTCCATTTCTATATGCGACTAATTTTAAAACGCACATGGTAAAACTACTGTAAAAGTGCGCACAGTCCAACTCGATTGGGTTTTTTTGGCTCCATATATACAGCCAACCATGATTCAATTTACACTGCAGTAAAAAAGTGTCGAGCGAGTTTGTTTCAACAGTATGGTAATATAATTGAATTTCAATGCCATAAATAAATATATATATATATATATATATAATATAATATAATATATATATATATAAGTAAAATATGTAAATGATAAATATTGATTTTTTTGTATACACTTTCAGAATTTCTACAAGTTTTTCCTGCGGTGGTATTTTACCAATATGTGTATAATTATAATTTATTAAACAATTTTGAATTCGACTTTATAATATATCTACCTAACTGGTCAAAGTTATTAGGTATTGCGATGTATAGGTCTGTGCTCAGCACAAAAGAAAATTATCTTAAATCGTAGTGCCAAGTACAATATTGTTATCAGGTGCAGTTACAACGTCGGTTTTTGTTATTGTGGGTTTATCTACAAATACAATTTAGTATTTTCCCTTTGTGTGCGCATTTGATTTTTATTTGTCTGTCAAATAATCAAATCTAATTCTTTTTAAAATTTAAAATGAAAATGATATACATGCAGATATAATAATAATTGGAAATTTATATTCATCGGAAATCAGTAAGCTTAAATGACATACATTATTTTAAGAATTGAAATAAATGATTACTAATTCATTCTAAATATTCTGAGTTGAATAATAAATCGAATAAAAGTATTATACCTACGTACATTTGTAGTCAGAATTCAATAGGAAATTTATGAATATTATGTGTTGTTATTATTTCATTGTACAACACATTTTTAAGATTTTTATTTAGTTTTTAAAACAAACATTCACATGATAATTTAAATTGATCAAATATTATCAAATAATTTAATATTTATAGATATTATACGTTTCAACTACAGTTTACATTCTGTGTATTCTACTATCCTATTATTTTAGTTCAATTTAGTATAATAAATTATATCTTATTAAAATATATAATTGTATTGAATTTTAGTTATGATTTATGATTATAAAATAATATTTATCGAAAAATGAATGATCAATTTTGCATATTATTATATTTGTAAGAAAAATTATTATTCTTATTTTTAAAGAAAACTGTAAAATGATAAGTATATTTTAAAATATACAATGAATTAACGATGACCTATATTATGTCTGCAGAAGACTACGTAGTAGTTATAATGATGCTGGAACGTATTTTTGAAAATAATTATCACCTACACAAAGATAAACTTCTTGGAAGGTTGGGCAAAAGAGGCGCCCCAAAAGATGTGCTGTATAAATCTTTACTAGAACATCCGGTGGATGATTGCCAAGTTTTTGGTTTATTCGCGCTGTATATATATGTGTGTTTGCACGTGTATTAAATATATTATATAGGTATAAGTATAATAAGAGTCATCAATTTTATCAGTGGCCTTTGTTGGCTTTTGCGGTGTTAACGACCGGTAAAGACGAAAAGGATGAAGTATTTATGACAGCAATAACCACCTCCTTCCAGAGACAACAGAAGAAAATATATCGTACGCCAAATTTATGAGATAAAAAGAGAAAAATCACATTTCCATTATTCAAGAGAACCTATTCATAATGTGGAGTGTTTTTGACATTTATGTTTATAATTCTTCCATCTTTGGTATTTTGAAAAAAACATTTTAATTCAAATCTTAAAAATAATTAACGAGATTCTAACTTATTTTTCGTTAACGATAAGAAAATACTTGGGAAAACATTTTTTTATAGTATCATAATAGTTCCTACCTTTTATTATACTATTAATTTTCCTTTAGAATTCATATCAAATTATCAAGTCATATATTTAGTTCGTAAGAGGCGTTGTAAGGGTCACATATTATACATATATACGTGCTGAAGTTATATAGCTTATTCTTGTTGTTACTTATTGTTTGATTTAATGTGGTATATTATTGGGTATAGTATTTGGGTCTGCAAAA